GAATTAGAGGCGATGCAGAGCAGGCCCTTTTGCCCTTTCCCATCCCAGCTGCTTCCAGAGGTCGTCAAGAAGGCTGCTACTGTTGCTCCTGAGGGGCCAGGTTCGGCCGTGATGGTGAGTGCCTGGCACCACCCAGCACCCATGGGTTCCTTAGACAATCCAACTGTAGCGCCTAGTGTTTGAGGTCCTATTATTTTCTTGGAGCAGAAGGAATATCTGCCTCTTGGTAATACCATCCTTTGAGTACCAACCATATAATCATTCTAGAATCTTGCTTCTGAATTTTGGTTAAAGTGCAATTCAGTCCACTCATGATTTAAAACAGAAGCAGTTGATAAATGTAATAACTGGCATTACAGGTTTGCCTAAGTCATTTTTTTCACATTTTCATTTAAAACTACACCATCAAGGGTCAGGGTCGTTACTGACAGGAGTGTGCAGTGGGGAATCCTAGCCTGTTTCGACCTCTTCCTTCTACATCCTGTTTCCTTCATAGCATCTCCCTGGCTGTGCCTAGGCGTTGCAGGTCCCATGGAGAGCCCAGAACTTTCCAGGAGGAGGAGGAGAAATCCCCTTGCTCCTGTTTTCGAAGTGGGTGGCTCCCTTTGTGCTGTGAGGTATTTAACACATTCACCTCCTCTTCCTCTGCAGAGGATCAAAGAACCACAGTTTCCTGCCCCATTTGACCACAGAGGGGCCTCTCCCACAGCTCTCCTCGAATTTGAGGGCAGAACTGGAGTAATGGTTTTCTCAGCCTCCATAGCCACTCTGGTCAGGACATCACTGGGCTAAATGGGAAGCTGACTTACCCTAAGCAAGACGGGGAAGTCAGGAAAGTGTGTCAATTGCCCCTAGAGTTTCACGTACTTTGCTCTTCTTTTCCAACCCCTTCTGGGAAGGCTTTCTAGAACCAACTCAACTCAAGATGTGACGACCGGACTTCCCTAGTGGTGCAGTGATGAAGAATTCGCTTGCCAATGCAGGGGACACGGGTTTGAGCCCTGGTCCGGGAAGATTCCACATGCCGCGGAGCAACTAAGCCCGTGCGCCACAACTACTGAGCCTGCGCTGTAGAGCGTGAGAGCCACAACTACTGAAGCCCGCGTGCCTAGAGCCCGTGCTCCGCACCAAGAGAAGCCACCGCAATGAAAAGCCCACGCACCGCAACGAGGAGTAGACCCCGCTCATGGCAGCTAGAGAGAGCCCGTGCGCAGCAACGCACACACAAAGCAGCCAAGAATAATGACCTCCTTTTAAGTACCTCCCCTTAAGAAGAAGCCCATCATTCCTCTAACTTACCTCAAGGAGACAACAGACCATGGGGGAAAAAAAAGATGTGATGACAAAGGAGGCCTAAAATATTACCTCTCAGGATACACATTTGGACTGGGAAGAAAACTAGAGCCGGCGGAATCAGTTGCTAACATTTCAGGCATCTGGTATCAGTGAGGGAGTTTTGGGGCAGCGACAAATGTTGAAAATAATCCTATTCCAGCTCTGAAATCAGTTTAATCATTCATTACTTACCAAATGTTTATTGAGCACCTGTAATACATGAGGCACTGGCACAATGAACTACACAGACAGACTTGACCCTCATGGAGCTCCAGGCTGGCTCTGGACACAGTGATGCATTATCACATTTAAAATGAGACTGATTTTTCTTTGGTGGCTTATGAAAACAAATTCCGTTTTATCTGAGCAGCACTCGAATTTTGCTCAGAGCTCTATTGTTGGTGTTGTTTCTCCCACCCAGCATCATATCTTTTAGTAACAGCACTCTGATTTTACCTTGAGGCACCCTGTTGCTCCATTCACAGTCCTTGCAGATGAAATAGAATTAACTCACCTAGCCCCTAACTGCAGGAGAGTGACGGAGGGCCGGCCAATCTGATCTCTGCGTCTCCTTGGTCATAATGATTGGCTCAGGTATAGATATAGGATCCCCACCAAGCCTATAGAAAACCTTTGCAGGATTTTTTTCCTACAGTTACTGGGAAAAAATAAGCTCTTTCCATTGGGTTTGCAGGCTGGAAAGAGTCTGCCTGAGAATATGGCCAACACAGAGGAAAGCAGAGAGAGACCAATAACAGAGAAAGATTTCTGACATTGCTTAAGTGATTGTATTCAGGTCTGTCCGTGGATTGTCAAAACATATTATTCAGTGTATAGAAGGAGGGAGGGAGAGACAGACAGACAGAGAAAGAGAGAGAGAGGGAGATTCATAGATATAGCTGTTTTGCATCAGCCTGTTTGAGTTGGGTTCCTTTCATTAGCAACTGAAGGTCCTCATCCATTCAACTGTATTAAAGTTTTCCATTCCCAAGAGTACCGAATCAAAAGATGATGATGAACTGGTTGTCTGTCCACTCCTTTATTCCCTTATCTGACATTTTATGGAGTGACTAGTCAGCTGGTTACAGGCCAAGACTGGCCTGGCAAACAGGGTCCTGTTGAGGGTGACCTCAGTGAGGAGAGTGGAGTTCTGAGGCCCCTGAGCTCTTCATGGTCACATCTGGTTACCCAGTTCCACATGCAGCCCCCTTTTCAATCTTGGCATATTCCTTCAAAGCATTCAAGTTTTCTTCCTGCTCCCTCTCCGGAGAAAGGAAGGACACAGTTTAATATTCAAGCTAGATTACAAAGGTAGTGGAAGAATGATTCTGATTCTTCTCTTCAGCCTCGTAGCTGTGAGGAATCAGTGTTTTCCTTCAAGCCTGTTAAGGAATCCTGATGAAAGTCTTCCTGGCCTGGCGATGACTCTGTGCCACCTAAGGCACAAATGGATTTCTTCAATCCTCAGTGTGAAATCCCAGTCTCAACCCTGGTGTTGCAACACTGGGTCACGGCCACTTCGAGAAAGGAGAGCATTAAACAGCCAGGTTGCAGCGCCCACAGGGAACGGGTCCTGCCTTGGCTTCACGAATTCCCCACCAAGAACCCCATCACTAATAACAATGCCTGCGGTGGGGCCTTTGTGTTCTCACAAAATAAATCAACTAATGTGACTAATAGGGAACTGGGGAGAGTTTTGGACACCGTCGTACATGCTCCTTCAGTGTCACATTCTTATTTCTTATTGCTCCTTCTTTGTCTGCTACTGTAAGGTATGGACCCTCCAGAAGAAAAATCGTTTCATTGTTACATCTACATCCCATCTGTCCCGTTCCTTTTTCTCGTAAGAGAAGCGGCAGATTTCCCCTTTTCATTGCACAGTCATGCTCATATTCTCAAAACTCTTGCCCAGATATGTGCACGAGGACATCAACAACCCAAAGACGTATATAAATAAATCCATGTATTGTTTAGGGGGTATACTTCTCTGTCAATAGACAGATAGATGATAGATATTATACAGATCTCAAAATAACTGACACACATATCTCCCAAACTCTGCTAAAATACAAAGCTTATTATGGTATCAGTCTTCACTAGATTACAAGGTTTAGAAGCTGCATTTGATTTAAAAATAGTTTTTGAAAAAATATATATCCCAAATATTAACACTATCCTGGGGTTAGAAAAACTGTAAATTTAGAAAAACTGTAAATGGGGTGATGAACTGAGGTACCAGCAGTGAGATAAGGCCTTTTAGTCTGGGAAACTACTTTCTGCGGTCAGAGTAGAGTGTGGTCTAAGAGACCTCCAGAAGAATGACTGCTCCAACTACCAAATCAGCATGTTGAGATACTGAAATACTCAAATCTGAATAAGGGCCAACCCAAGATTAAACACATTTA